AATTTAACTAAATTGAATTTAACTTCAAAAACAACAGATTATAAATCCACTTTATTCTTAAAATCATACTATAAAATCAACTGTATGAGATAACAAGTTTTCTGATCTAACATAAATTTAATAAATACTAATTTTGAAAAATAAGTTTTTATATCCACTCATAGATCTCTGGATAGCAATCTGGTAAATTTACAAGCCTTGCCAAGCTTTCACGTCACCACCTGAAATAAGATGTAAAATAACTAATTTAACAACTCCCATACAAAGTATCTCTTAATATTATTAATCGAATACTAAAATTGACTTCTCGATACTTGAATAATTTTTCCCAAATTTCCTTTAATCACTTAGAGCTAATTCCACCTACCAATCCATTCACTAGTATCTAATTCATCAAATAACCTTCATCCCCTCATAATAATAATTTTTCCCATCCTCCAAATCTAGTAAAACTAATAACCATAATTCAACCAATTAAATTTACATCTTGTTCATTATATTAATCCTTTCAAGTGTGTATTTCATCAAGTTTATAATTTCCCCAAACTATCTTTCCTCAAGCATTCAATTAGAAATTTAGGGTTTACTAAAAATAGTATTACTAACCTTGATTGAATGGAAATTCAAAAAATCTAGAAACTAGAACTCCAACTTGTACTCATATCTCATAAATCTAAAAATTTTAACCACAAGTTAACACCCTAGAAATTCAACATAAATCATTCTTTTATCACTTGAAACAAATAAATAGATTAAATTCAGGCTTGAAGAGATCCAATCTTACCATTTTTTTCTTCCCTTTCTTCTTTTCTTCCTTTTTTTCCCTTCCTTTCTTCCCGATTTTTTTCTCTTCCTAGTTGCTGCCTGGTTTTCGTGTGTGTGTGTTTAGAGAAAAAATAGGTCACTTCTAATAATACAAAGGCCCACTTACTCAAAATTACAAAGGAAGTCCCTCTTCTTCATTTTAATATAACATTTAATCCTTCTAACTTCCCTTAATATAAAAGTAAATTCTCAACTTTAAATTATATCCAATTTAACTCTCATATATTGTCAATTATAAAATAAACCCCAATAAAATATTTTATTTCATTTTAGTCCTTAATTGACTTTGACCTTGACTAGTCAATTTTTTATTTTTGACTAAGAAAAATTGGGTTGTAACATCAACAACCCTTTTAGATGATCTTCCTCAAATTAAAAGCTTTGGGTACTCATTTGCAGCATATTGCTCTACAAAATAAAGAAACAAGTCATCAACACTTAGAAAAAATTTAAAAAACAAATAATGTGGCAACTTATATCAAATTACTACCTTTCGAAACCATCAATGCATGCTTCAAAAAATGTTATGATTTGAATTGACTTTCTTAAAGTAACGATCTTAAAAAGAGGAAATTCTAAATATTCTAAATATAAAAGGAAAATTTATATGCTCTAAAGTAGAACTTGCTGCATTCATGATATTGAGCCACCTCTAAGCCCACATCATCGCCCATCGTTTGCCACCGACCCTTTGTCTAAAACCAAGAGGCTTCCAGTTCTTATTAGAGGTCACAGTGTCCCATATGATGGGTGAATGTGGATCCAACATATTCATAAAGTACAATCCCTAGAAATTCTTTCCCCCACTAGAGGCCTTAGGTTGAAAAAATGTTTGAAAATCATGCATTGGCATGTCTTCGTCAATAATGGCCTCCTTTCATAGAATGAAGGTCCCTGCTATCTAGTTCCACGCATTTAGAAGAAGCTGGGTAGGAGCTAGGTTATAGTACTTCAAAAGATATATAAAGANATTGTTGAAATTCAGATTGCATTACTTAAGATGAAGCAGTTATACTCAATTTTTTTTTTTTATGATCAAGTCAAAACTCCTAAAATATCTTAGTTGAGCCTAATGATATTCACTACATTAAGTAAATGAATTCGGATGATTTTGAGGTCTGATTATAGTGTTTAATGAAGCAGATATACTTGTAAAAAAATGATAAAACATAAAAGTAGAGGAGTCAAATAAAAAAAGGACATTTCATTCATAACAAATTTTTTACATGACTCAGAAGCACCTTGAAATATTACATATAAAAAAGAAGAGGCTAAACAGTAAATAGAAGAGGCTAAGCATCTTTAGAGTCAAGGTGTAAAGGTAAAAGCTTTTTCGACTGGAGTAGTCAACTTTTCCAGAAGTAACTCTTCCTTCAAAGCTGACAGAACAAAGTAGAGATGCAGTTCAGCCATTCTTTTCAAGACCTCACCATATGCGACCCTCCTCCAATATAGCCGGAGTCTATCATTCATAAAAAACGTTTCATTAAAATGTTTTGAGTATTCATTAACTCCTACTTCCCTAGCTCCCTAAAGTTACTACCTTGGCTCAGTAACTTCGATACAATCCCCTTAACTTGAGCCTTCAGCTCCCTTATCTCCTTATTTGCTGCCTTTCAAGGTATTAAAGGCTATCTTGTGTGAATTATCAGAAGCTCCACTCCTTTATCAAAATATGAACTTCGGCTTTATAAAGATGACTTCATTTTCCAAATTTCCGTTTTCATAGAGAAGAACTCCAACTTCGTCTATGCGAAAGCTTGTTTTATCTTTGTCGCATCAACTTCTAACTCTAATTTGGCTGTATCAATTTTCCCTTCTTAGTCTTTGTAGTCAGTCATTTTCCTCCACCTTTTTGCTGAACTCTCTATTTATCCTTTAGAGCTGCCTCATTTTTATTTAAGCTGCAACTATGAAACCAGTTGCACGAGCCTGGAAGGTGACCCTCGGATCTATCAAATCAACCAAGTTGTAGAACTTGGAACACAAAGCATATTTTCAATCCAGTATTTGTAGTATAATCTCGCAACTGCCTAGACTTTAACTAGAAGAATTGCAAGCAATTAGGTCATTCTCCTCTGTCTAAGCCTCCAAGAAATTTCAAGCCTGATCTTAAGTAGGCCCCTCACAGATGACCTCTTTGCCCCTCCTTTTTTCTTGGAGAATTTATTAGGGTATTCGACCTTATCATTTTCAACCCTAATGGAATTGATGGGGATCATATATATGGGTATTTATATGGTGGCCTTGAAGAAGGTTTTTTGGCAAGTTGGGGGCGAAGGAGGCTCTAAAGATTTATTGATCTCCAATCTCGTTTTCTTTGGCCTCTCCAACTGAGCCTCTACTTTTTCATTCCCATTTTTATCAATAGAAGAAGACGATTTATTAGCTTAAGAGATGCTGGCCATCTTGTCTAGTTGATGCTTATATGTGGAGGTGTTTGTGTTGAGGACTCAACTAATACAACCCGTTCCAAATCACCTTAATGGATTCGACACGTGTCGTGCGCCGATGGTAGATACCAGCTGAATGTCGAACCCACCACCAAGGTAACCTTAACTTATTTGATTGAAAAATATTTTTAACAAAATTTTGACAGTTTCCCCTCAAATATGAACTAAAACCACTTCAACAATAACCAATTTTCTTCAAATCAAAAAATATAATATGAATAGGGTATGATAGTCCCTCAAAATATAAACTATTCAAATAAAATGCTGGCAAATCAACATTTAATTGCTTTACAACCAACGATCCTCAAATATACTAAAGATAGCAAATATCTAATGAGCCCTTAATGAACTTTTTTGATTTAAGATACTTGTATTCCAAAAGAACACATAATGTATAATCTGATAAAGGATGTCATACAACCTATGATGCGTGGCTCAATTCGGTGGTTTGACAAGCTTCAAAGCTGCTCAATTCGACTGCTATCTGTCTGATAAAGAAAAAGGTAAAAAATATATGAGCTTAAAGTTCAATGAGTGGATGATTTGCAAATAAGTAAACTTTTCTCATTTAAGCATATTTTCTAAAAATTCTTGCTCTATGAAAACTTTGAGAAATTCTGAAAACTAGTAGCACTTTGAAAACAGAAACATGATTGGATCATAAAATTCTTTGTTCTTTATTCTAGTTCATTAACTATAAAATATGATGAATATAAATAATCTAACATCCATGAAAATCTATAAAATATTGATGTTGTTCAATACTATAAGCTGGAAGCTTTATTCTTAGAACTGAATAGACTGAATTATATCATCTAAAATCTGATAAGCTGTAGAAATACTGAAAAATCACACCAAAAAGATACCCAATGAATAGCTTTGCTCATGTACAGAGTAATCTCGATATACAAGGCAAAGTCATTCTAATCTGATAATCTAGTCATACGTATGCAGAGCTGTCCCAAAAGCTAATCACCCTAGTACACAGCCTAAAGCGTATGTGAGTATGAGAGAGGGTCCCAAAGACCTCTAATAATCTGGTCATATACTATAGAACACATTCACAATAGTACAGAGTGGTTAAGATCACCATAACTGGTCATACACCGTGGAAATACATTCACACTAGTGCAAAGCGGGTAAAATAACCTTAACTGATCATACACTATGGAAATACATTCACATAAGTGCAGACTAGAGTAAAATCACCTGGATACTTTATGGTGGTTTTACAAAGAACTTTAAATATGCTGAAATATTTAATACTAAAATAATACGATAATGAAACAATTTAACTAAATTGAATTTAACTAAATTGAATTTAACTTCAAAAACAACAGATTATAAATCCACTTTATTCTTAAAATCATACTATAAAATCAACTG